GCTGATAATATTGCCTGCTTTGTTTCACTCGTATCCTTTGTTAACAARGAGCAGTCTAGAGGGAAATAGTCTATTATTAATATTTAATTTCCTCCTATTACTGTAAGCAGATGACCTAAAAGATCATTTAGCCAGCAGCCAATAATAAAGCAAATAGAGGGATCAGAAAATGTATGTCTTGGTTAGGTGGGTGATGCCTCCTTCCTCCTCTTTCCTGCCCCACCCAGGCATCTTTTCACGGGGTGACTGCTGTGTGTGAGCAGTCAGGGACCTGGGAAGCTGCTCTTTGTGAAATATTCATAAAATATCGAAGTTCAGAGAAGAAACCCTTGAGCAACACAGAGAAGAGCTCCTGCTGCCCTCTCTATCGTTCTCCCAAAAGGACACCTGTTTTCARTATGTTTTACAGCCCCAGTTGTTTTGCAAATTCGTGTAGTGCCTGTGAGCACATTGGTTTATTGTGACTTGAGCCTCTGAAGTGGTGGGGAGAGACAAGATTTCTCAGTCTTAGATTTAAAAGATAAGGAGATTCTCTTTGAGCTGAAAGGATTTCAAAGAGAGGATAAAAACTGACAAGCATCTCCCCCTCCAGGCTTTGGAAAGTAGGAAACAAATGATTTAGCRGCACCAATTTCTCTGCTTAGGGCCATGTGTGTATTCAAGGATTTTCCCTGAGGGAATGAGGTGATCTGCATGTGACTGGTACCTGGGAAGGGTCATGCTGTCAAAAGGAGATGCAAGATTGTGATCTGTGGAATGAGCCTTGATGAACACCCCTCCATGGCCCCTGAGCTGCCTCTGGTGCCCCATCCTGGAGCAGACACAGAAACCAACCCCTCTGGAGCCCGGGGAAGCTGCACTCTGTCACCTACAGCCCTAAGGGCTGCTGGTGGTCTGGAGGTTTTGCTAATACGTGAGAGGAGCTGTCAAACTGAAGTGTCCCAGGCACTGTGAGCCTGGCAGGCACAGAGGGTGATTCTGCTCTGAGCCACTGACAGCCTGGGCAGCCAGAACCTCCCAAACCCAGCCTGGAGGGACTACGAGACAGCCTGGGCAGCCAGAACCTCCCAAACCCAGCCTGGAGCTTGTTTGAGCTGGTGATTTGAACCAAGCACTGGCCACGGGCTCAGCTCGATGCTCTTGGCACTCAGCAGAGAGAAGGGGCACCACCTTGGTCCAAAGTCAACTGGAGATGCCAAACTAAAGCTTGCTTAGGCTCTGCTGGTGAATTGCTTCATGGGAACGTGCTGTGCAGATGCTTTATTGAATTTTCAAGGAGTTTCTCATTGGGRCTGAAATATGAGAGAGAACAGAGTGTTCCAAGTCACTACAAACGAACAGAGCACCAGCTTTACAGGTTTGTGAATGACAAAAAAGGTTTATTTAATAATGGGGAAAAGGCYGGAACATAGCCTGGGGTATCAAGAAGGAATTAACAAAATAAAACACGGGCTTATGAAGAAATACTAATTGTAGCTGTCCAGCCTGTTGGGTGTTACAGCTTATTTTCCTTAAGTTTCAACAAGCTTGCCATGCTGATCCCTCAAGGGCCTGAGATGTTAAATATACACTTCCCCAGTRAGTAAAGCAGATTGTTAATTAATTTTTTCTTATTAGACCTGGTTGCTAAGCCTTTGGGTCTTGCATTAAGTGGGCAATTCTACAATAAATTTCATTCTTGCCTCTGTATCTATGTCATCTTCTCTTGGTGGTCTCTATTTAATTTTGTCCCTGTGCAGTGAATTTCTAGCTTTTTAAGCAAAAAGACTGAGCTGTTCTTGTTTTAAAGCAAGTTGCAAACACTCCTAAAATTGAGATTTGTTATGTCAGGTGAGCACTGTGAGAGAGGAATGAGGAGAGGTGGGTGAGCTCAGGTTGAACATGAACCCTCCTGGGTTGTGGCACATTCTGTCAGCAGCAGGTGAGGCTGGGATTGTGTGGCCAATAATTGTTTTTTTCTGATGTCAGTGGCTACTCGGAGGCGCTGAAGCAGACACAAAATGTTGTTTGTCGTGGCTGGGACACCTGCTCAGCTCCAGCCATTTCTCCCCTGAGATGTGCTGGCTCTGCAGAACTCCAAGTGTTTTCTGGCCCATATGAGAGCAGAGGGTGGAAGGACACTCTGTCCTTTTCTGGACATAACATTCCGATTGCTTCGGAATAAATGACTGCGGCTTGGGATGAAGAATGAGGCCACTGTTTGTGTAGGGAGATGGGAAGCAAGGGATTAAACAAATTCAGAGACAAAAAATTCAAATTTAACATCCGGCCATGAAACCGTTAAAGCAGAAGGTTAAAAGCTCTGTTGTGTCAGAAAACACTGTGTGATGTCGTCATTAAACTTCAGATTCCAGCACTGTGCTTTTTCAGGATCGTGCAGAGGTGTAGGAAATTTTAGCTTTGTGCTGAGCCATTAATGTGTGCAGGACCTCCACAGTGAAGTTTSTAACTTTCCTCTTTGTCCTGTTGGAGTTTGAGATGAGCCATTGAAAGAGTCAAGTTAAACAAACTGCATCTAGGATTATTATGGGTTTGTGATTCTATTGAAGGAAGCTCTCAGATGGGGAAGAATATCCAAAACTTTGCTTTGATCCCCTTCACTGAGGTGGATGAGCTGTGAGCACSATGGGCAAGAGCTCCCGAGCAGGACTTCAGGAAAATCCTCTGAGCATCAGGATTAAGGTGTTCAGTTCTCWGGCAGCCTCCCTTCAAACAGGGGCTCCTTCAGCTCTTTTGACTCCATCTCAGAGGAGTTCGTGGGGAAGCTGTAGGGGTTTATTTTCTATAGCAGTTTTGGCTCAAGAATGCCACAGTAATTTGTTAATTTTTTTTCTAATTACCAGCACTGGAGTTTGGCCATGCTCTTGGCCTGCGTGGGGAGGTGTGAACCTGTGGGGCTCAAACCCAAACCCACCTCAGAGCCTCAGGCACAGAGGCAGCACCCCCATTCCTCTTAGGAGCATGTTTTGCCCATTATTTCCTTCGTTTTGGTGTTTTTTCCTCCTACCAGCTTTTTCCTGTCTTTTTTTTTCCTCCCTTCTTGCTCACACACACACGCACAAAACATTGTTTATCTCTCATCCTGTCCCTTCTGTTCTCTCTCCCTCCAGATCTTTATTTCCATCTTATATTACTTCTAATCCCCTTCCCTGGAAGTTGGGCTGGAGGGTGAGGTTTCAGTGTCTCTGCTTTGAAACAAACCTGCTGGGATTTGTAATGGACAAGCAGATGTTTGCAGAGTGATGCAGGGGCATATCACTGACATCCCTGAAATCCAAGAGAGTAGAAGCCATCCTGAGGAGGTCACTGAAAACCTGGAGGTTTTCCTGTAGGAGCACAGACAATAGAGAGACTTCTTGGGGTTTTTCTTCTTTAAAAAAGATTAAATGGATGATCTTTATCTTCCTCTTAATAGCTAGATYGCACACTAATTTCTTCTGTTGATTTTGTCCACTAAAACCAAACAAAACACAGAAACAAGATAGCTGAAGGTGGAGAAAAGCAAGGGTTTTGAAGCATGTCCAAACCACCAAAAATCATTCACTTTCCTTTCAAATGCAGCATTAGYAATAGAGCTCTAAATCAATGAAAGGTCTAAAATTAGATTATATTCCTGAGATCAGATGTGAATCACAAGTTAATCATATTTTCTTTTATTATCACTGTCTTTACCCTTTTATTTTATCCTGAGAAATTTGGTTGCTGTCTTGAAAACAGAGTGAACTGTAAAGGCATCAAACCCTGCTGGGTGAGACCACGCCRGATCACCTGTGGATGGGGCCCAAAAATCTTGTGTTTTGGAGGTTCATGTTGCATTCAGAACCGAGCTTGGTGATTTATCAGCTTGTGCTGTGTTTCTCTCTCTCCCAGCCCTCTGATGTTTCAAGCTGTTTCTTAAATTAATGAGAAAATATTACTGCTAAAGCTTGCTAAATAAGGTTTGCAACCCACTCTGGAAGTGACAGGCGAGGACAGCAAGCAATTATCTCTTGACAGTGGCACAAAGCTCAGGGAGCTGTGTTCTCCCCTGTGTATTTTTATCTGATGCTGTGGTGAACTGCACCCCTWCGAGGTGAGCTGCAAGGCTGTGCAGGTGATGTTTATCTGCTGGGATCAAGTGCAGCTCAGGGCTGTGTCCCCTTTAGTCCCAGAGCTGYGTGTGACACTGCAGGGACTCGACTGCAGCCCTGAGAGATGCCATTGGCCTCGTGCCTGTGTGTCATTTTGGGAGAGGTGTGTTTGGGCTGTCGGTGAGGAATGATGCTGTTCTGGATGTGACAGACACTGTGGACAGTGCAGGAAATGAATAAATGGTTTGCTTATAGGACACAGATTTACATGAACAATAATCATGGAGCTGCAGAGAGCCTTGCAAAGGTGTGCATGGGCAGCAGGAATGTCCTCAGAGATGTCCCTGTGTGGCACTCCTCAAACGATCCTCCCTGCTCTGGATATTGTCCACCAAGGCCAGACAGGGGGTGACCACTCACCCCAGCAGCACAACCCCCTGAATGAGGGCTCCTGTCCTTGCAGAGCGGGACATTGGTGCAGCAGCTCTGTGCACAGCACGTGAGGGTGGGCAGCACGTGATGGCTYAAATCTGGTGTTTGTGATCAGAGGGAGACAGGTGTGTGTGAAAGGCTYCTCCACCTTTCCTCTGTGCAGCCTCAGCACTTGCCAGGACATAATTAGTGGGGCTCTCGTGTTTCAGGGCGGGCTGTGGAGCAGCTGCTGAAGTGCCAGCTCAGTTGGTAGCCTCGAAAACAAAACGTCCCTTGTTTCTCATCACCACTGTGAAGCACTGCYTTCCTGAACTTGGGTTTGGCCCTGCAGCTTTCAGGATAGACAAAATGTGAGAATTTTGCCAATAATGTATTCTTCTAGGTCTGTTAAATATCCGTTATCAATTTAATGTGCCGCTTTAATGAGATTTTGCTTTCTCCATCTCCTCGGTAGAGCTGATTACTTAGTGTATGTGGTTGGTGTTTTTCTCYTTTTAGAGGAAACTGCAAGTGAAGAAGTTTAATGTTTGCTTCAGCCGAAGAAAGTATTTCCCAAGTCCTMGTGGGAAAAGGTGACAAGGAGGAGCGGAGGACGTTGCTAGTAGGTATGGAGATGACAGGAAGCCATGACTAGAACAGTGATTGTCAACAGGAAACAAAGCAGCGCAGCTGATGTGACCCTGCTGTACAGCACAGTCGCTGTGCTCTGCTGCCTGCTGGACTCTGTGGCCTGGGGAGCAGAGTCAGCCTCCCAGAGAAACTCTCCCGTCTGTTGGTCTGCTGGAGTTTGAATAATTCTGCACCTGGTTAATCCACTTTGCTGGAGCTGRCAAACCCTGGGCTTCTTTTCTCAAAATCCTCGAGCAGCTCTGGGGAGAGCCATGTGTGTGTGAGCAGCCATCCCAGCTGGCAGCTCCACGGAGCCCAGGCAGCTTTGAGGTGTCGTGGCTGTTGAGTGCTCTGCAGATATGAACGCTGAGCTTKGGGCCTGGCTGTTCTCACCATGCTAGTACATGGGAAGGACGACTTTCTGTCAGACATAGCCTACATCATCCTGGAGCTGATCATCGCMGTGCTGGCCATCCTGGGCAACATCCTGGTCTGCTGGGCCGTCTATCTCAACAGCAACTTGCAGAACGTCACCAACTATTTTGTGGTGTCCCTGGCTGCTGCTGACATTGCCGTGGGCGTGCTGGCAATCCCCTTTGCCATCACCATCAGCACTGGCTTCTGTGCCTTCTTCTATGGCTGCCTCTTCATTGCCTGCTTCGTCCTGGTCTTGACTCAGAGTTCCATCTTCAGCCTGCTCGCCATCGCCATCGACAGAATCATTGCCATCCGAATACCCCTCAGGTAAGCAAGGGCAGGGCTGGGGTGGTGAGGGCTGAGCATTCCTAAAAACCACAGGTCTGGAGATGAATCAAKGAAGGAAGAGTTAAATGAGGATCAGTGGTTTTTCTCTTGTATTTTGAAAAAAAAACTTTTCTAGGTCTTCAAGTCTGCCTTGGCTGTTGGGTTTTCTGGTTACTTCCTTTTCCTGTTCTCTGTTCTCCTGTGGTGTGTGTCCATGGCATCACCAAGGTGCTGCCTGGGAGCTGCCATTCCATCCCATTCCAGGATAGAATCCTGCAGCAGCATCAGTAACCTGTGCCTTCAGCCAGTGGCACCAGAGGTGTTAGTGGGAATGGAGGGGGCAGAAATGGGGTGAGGTCAGYTTGTTCCCTTTCCCTGTGGGCAGGGAGGGGCTCTGCCTGAAGCTGTAGCAGCAGGGCTGGGGGGATGGAGAAGGGGTTTTCTTTCAGGGATCCATTAAATGTGAAGAGAGAAGAAGCAGCAGCAGGCTACCAAGAAATGGGCTTTAGGAAAATTTGGGCTGGCTTGGGCACTGGCTCTGGAAGCACAGGATGAATTGCCTCAAGGTGGAGGCGTGACCCAACTGCAGATGGTYGTTTTGTGGTCTCTGCAGTTTAGAGAAAGAACAGGACATTTAATGACTGACACTGGCTGCTAGTTGGTGTTTGAGCAGGGAGGCTGGTGTGGGACGAGGGGAGGTTTTGCCACACACACGGGGGCTGCCCCTCAGCCCAGTTCCCCACAGCTGGTTGTGTGATGGGCTGTGATGGGCTGTGATGGGCTGTGTCTGCCATTGTGTGATGGGCTGTGATGGGCTGTGTCTGCTGTGGGCTCGAGGCAGCGCTGCATTTCTGTGACAATGCTCCGAGTCATTCACTGAGCTCCAGAGATGGAGAGGAAGCCCCTGGAGAGGCTGGGGCAGGAGAAGTGTGGGAGTCTCTTTCCTTCCTGTCTTGTCCTTAGGAGGATWCAGCCCACTCTCAGGAATGGAGAGACTGCCTTTCTCTCCTGAACAACAAATGTGCCTGCAAAAATGGAACAATCTGCTGGTTTTTGTGCTCTTGAACTTGGGGTTTTGGACATCCTCACAATCACTTGTGCTGATCGGTGCAATTCAGTTCTCTTCCAAATACTTTGGTCATGCAGCACTTATGTCAATTAACACAAACCTTCTGTTCAGACCAGAATAGGAGCCATGGAGAGTGGAAATTGCCTTTCCATGTGGACCAGGGCAGCCAAGTCTTTCCTGAAGCCTCRCCTCAGCAAGTTTGTGCTGCTGTAAAATCACCTTTAATGTAATGTATAACATTACCATTAATGGGTGGGTTCCAAACCCTACTGATCATACCTGTTACAGCTCTTAGTTCTGATGGAGTTGGAAGGAATAMCTGCTCCATTCCATTGCAGAGAAAACTCTGTCAAAATTAGGTAGCTTGAAACTGGCCTGTCTCCACTTTTCTACAGTTCTGCTATAGAGGATTTCAGTTTATAAACCAAAACAATGATAAATGGTACAAGAAAACATGTAGGGCCCTGGGAGCTGCCTCTGAAATGATTTTGAGAAGGGCTAATGTCTTGATTTCATCTCTCATGAGCTAACTCTGAAGACTTTTGCTGACAGTTTAAGTACTCTTAYTGCTAGAGGATGACTTGCCAGGAAAGGGATTTTAAAAATCTGGATTTCTGCCCATTTTGGGGCTATCACTGTAACTATATTGTCTTGAAAATGTAATTTCCTGGAACAGCCAAGGTAAAGAGTCTTTTAGAAAAACCAAACTACATCATGCTGGGCATGACACTGGTTTCACTATCTTGTTTTGGAAAAAACAGAGCACACCCTCTTCCGYCCCAGGAACAGAGGGATTGATTGGATGCAGAAACCCACAGGTAAATAAATGGGTTCCTCCTCCTCCCTGTCCTCTGCTGGTTTGTCCTTTCACAGCAGCAGTGATGAACTTGTCAACTGTGTTTCCCCTTAAGAATTTATGGGTGAATAAGCATTAGATTTATAGTCTCAGACACATGAGAAAGTGAAAGCTGATTATGTGAAGAGGGAAATGTGGTATAATTTAGATTGCCCACATCCTCATGGTTTTTTTTCTTTTTCTAATACCTGTCTATCTCACAAATGGGTCAAACAATTTGAAGGGAAGTTCTGCCACTAACCACGTGTTGTTTTCATTCCATCCTTTAATACCTGGGAAAGCCCCTTCTCCTGTTCACAGGACATGAAAGGYAACACCAGGTTTTGCTAATATTCATTAGCTCTTTAATAAGTCACACTTCCTTCACTCTGGTGAAACAAATAAGAGCCAAAMCTTTTTATTCTTTTGTTTCTCTTTAAATATTTCATGTCTGATTTGTCCTAATTAAGGTAACTGCATATGTGGATGTGTATTCCTTCAGAAATAAACTGTCAGTGTTAAGAWGGCAGAAGAGTGGGTTTTCTGCTACTGCTTGGTTTTGTACCCCTCAATATATTATTAGAGTTACCTTTGAAATTATTTTTCCATGAAGAAAAGACCCTCCTCCTAAAAACTGCAGTGAGAAAAGACATTTATAGRTGAAATTTTAAAATGGCTAAAATTAATTTGTAAATATCTTATGGATTCTGCCTTACAAACCACTAAAATGTTGTGTAGAATTTGGTAAACTTTCCACAAGTTCTCTAGCAGTTTGTTTAATTCTGCCAGRTCTTACACAAGTGTAACACTCTGCAAGTGGCAGAAAGGCACTCCCCAGGCAGGGAGCCCCAGGCATTGTTCACTTCAGGACAAAATGAGGTTTCTCCCATGSCAGGTACCTGAAAACCTGCACCGGCTGATATCGAACCCCCGGGTGCTCTGAACAAAATTGGCTGTGAGTCTGAGCCCCAGGATAGAGCCCTGGGCCAAGAACAATTGCTGCTTTCCAGGCTCCGTGGTGCCAGCAAAGGCTCTGCGGGCACCGTGCCCAGCCACGTGCTGCTGTGCAGGCATTTGGGTAAAGACATTCCCAGGGAAGGACAGGTAGCTCTGCAAAGAAAGGGGCAATTTTCCTTCCTGCARCCGGACTGAAAAGTTTTCTGAGGTTGCTGAGGTTGTTGCTTGCTCTGTGTGCTGGATTCAGGCACGAAGCACACGGGTCACACAGTGCCAACTGCAGCCTTCTCCTCTGATRAAAGCTGCTTTTGCTGCTGCCATGCTCCTCTGGGAAAACATTATTAAGGTGCAGCTCCCTGACGTTTGGAACTCTGGGGCTGATTTATCCCATGTGGTGGTGATTTAAACTGCAGCTCTGAGGTGGCACTGGGATGTTTTTCTGCCAGAGGACATGAAGAGCTGGCTTCTCAAAGTCTGGAGCAGGAAAAATAGGGAAGGTGAGCACCAAYCCTGAATGAAGTATAGATGTGCAAGGGACCTTTGTGCTGAGCTGAGAACATTCTGTTTCAGTGGTTGCTTTAATTCTCTAGGATTGCCTTCTGAAATGCTCATAGGTAAGCATGTGAACCAGTGAATCAGGGATTTAATGTTTTATTGTCACTTTGAGCCATATGTGGACTTATTTTTGTCTCTGCTCGCCATAAACCTTTTGACTTTATGGCAGGCATTTCCWACATGTGCTCATGTTAAATAGGTTTAGGGCAGGTTCACTCTTGTATGAGAAAAGTGTAATTCCTCCTCCTTTGAACGTGGGCACAGCTTTGAAAGCAGTGGCTTCATGGGCTGCACACAACTCACTGTTACCAAGGTTTTGTTCTGCAAGCTGATTGTGTTGTGAGCAGAACTGTGTCTGCCCATCATTCCTGCTTCTGCTGCTTGGAGAAGAAATGATGGGSACCACCTGTGGGATCCCACTTGCTCTGCCTCCCTAGCACGGGCAAGCACTATGATCAGTTTGTACCTGGGAACAGGGGAGAAAGGTTCCTGGGTCCCAGGGTTTTGGGAAAGGTTGTTTAGTTGGTGCATGATTTGGCGCTTTGATTTCTTGCCCTGCCAAATCATCCAGATTTCCTGAATGATGTGGGATTGCCAGTGTCTCTCATTTCCGGGTACAGGTAATAGGGATTGAACTCCTCCTCGCTCCAGTCCCCGATGGCTGCAGCTGCCTGRGGTGTGGGCTGTTGAGTGCACGTGCTCAGGGAGCAGCGTTTTGTAGTGATTTGTCAAACACCTTTGAGCACTGCTGGAACTCAGCTCAAAGCCCTCAGCTGAGCACAGGCTTTCTGGGGGATGCAGTAAAAGGTCTGCAGAATGCTCCATTCCTGGCAGAGGATGTGCAGTGCTGTCCAGAGGAGGGTTGGGAAGGCAAGCAGCAGGATGCTGTGATGGTGAGTTAGGCCAGCCACRTATCACACAATGTATGCAAAGATTTTACCTCCTCCCTGAAGACTCTGTGGTTCTTATACCAGCTCTGTCTTCCACCCAGTCTCACAGACTCTGCACAGGAATCATTGCCTCCATGACACACAGTTAGTCCAAGGACCCAGAAGTGTCACATCCCCAGCCAAGTTACTCTCAGCAGCCCAGGGGAGCTGTACATTCACCAAGGGCAGCTGTTCTCCTRCAGTCATTTTGCCAGCTGGGTGGCTGGGAGAGCAGCACGACAGGTGAAACTATTTTGGAGAAAACATTCACATTTTCATGTGTTTGCAAAAGCTGGTTTCACTTTCTAGGGGAGGCAGGTGACCCTATCCTTGAACCCAGTGCCACCATGAGCATCCCTAATGTCCTTTATGTCTTGAATTTCAGGAGTAGAAATGGTAGTTAGTGTAGCAAGTGCATTATCTCCAGGAATCAGARCTGCTGGAGCACAGACAATCCAGTGCTGTCTGGACACATCAGGCATGCTGTAAAGTCACCTCCAGCTGTGCAGAACGTGGGCTGCAGGCGTGGCCAGCTCCTTTCAGCAGGTTGTGTCTCCTGCACTCACATGATGGGAATGTGTCTGGGAAGCCCTGAAATTACCCTGTGGAGCTCTGCAGCACTGGGGAAAGGGAGAGTGGCTTTGGCCTGGCTGCTGTGAGCCTGGAAAGATACTGAGACMAAGTACACAGAGATGTACACAGTGTCTTCAGTGACATCTCTAAGTGGATAAAAGGAAAGAGTCCAGGAAAGCCCATCTGGACTATAACCCTACCACAGCCAAGTCAGTCAGAGGTGCCTCACGTGCATCCTAGAAATTAAGCTCTCCTAAACAAATTAACACTTCTCAGTGGCCAACACAAGACYATKGACTGTGTCATGAGATKCTTCCTTTCTTAACACCTGGAGATMCTGAGMAAGGTGCTGTGGACAWGCACTGCAGCACAGCACACTGCAGCTGGAAAGCTGTTTGGGYTGAGTGCTGCTCCAAAGCCTTGTAAAGCTTCTTGCATGGGAATCCCCAGAGGGTGAGAGGGAGGGGGAAGTGTGGGGAGGTGTTTGTCTGGAGCAGTAATGGATATATTTTTAGTGGAGGGGAAGGGACATCTCTAGTCGTGGGATAACAGCTGCAGGATTTCAAAATTCCTCTGACAAGATGTAGCTAATTCCAGRGCTGCAGGGTTTTGGTGAGGTGGTTTTTTTGGTTTAGTATTCTTTTTGTTTTGTTTTGKTTTTTGCTTTTCCAAGTTTCAAGGGGCCTTCAGCCACTTTCTTGCTCCCTGAGTGTACATTTCAAAGCACAGATGCTGTTTTGATGTGTTGATGAGGCCTGAATGTGAGCAGCTCTCTGCTACCATCCAGGCTGTGCCCTTTGCATCCCTTAAGCACTGGGCAGGATCCACTAATTGCTGGAAAAAACCTTTTYCTCCCCCAGAATCAGCAGAATTCCTCTTTCATTTCTGGAAGGACAATTTATGTGTGTTTTGGGTGCTGGGAATTGTGTGGTTGGCTCCCTTATCCACTCACTCTTTTCTGATTCTGAAATACAGTGAGAAAGGGAGAGTCAAGGCTGATGGGTCTTGTTTTTTCCAAGGCACACCAGCAGGGATTTAAGCATGTGCAGGATCTCCATTCTTTACAAAAGCAGCCTCTCTCATCCCCTGTCCTGARCTTGAGTTGAGATAGGAGCATGAACCTGTGGGAGCGATTATTTCATTAGGGCATGGAAAGATTTCTGGGGCTTGTTGTATTATTTCTTTTAATGTTTGTTTTCTGAGAGAATTCTGGGGACAGAAGGAGAAGGAGCACTGGGTAAACACTGGGAGCCCAGMGCTACCGTCCGATCACAGACTCATGGGGTCAAGTGCAGTGTGGGACCTATGCTGGACAATGTGGGAATCCAGCCATCTACTTTCCATGCTGAGCATTACCCAGGGAAGGAAATTGCATTGAAATGCTAAACTGCTGCCCTGATTTACATTTTCAGAGGGAAGAACTGGCAGAGTCAGCTCAGGACTCGCAGTAACCTGTGAGGCCTTGGGAACTGGCTGATATTTCAAACAAGCCAAGGTCTCTGCAGCGCTGTCAGATTCTTACCAGGTTGCTTTTTGTTTATTTCAACAGATCTTGGAGAGTTTACTGTTAAAAGCACTGGCATCAGCCAGGCATATCAATAGCTCCACCACTGAGGTCCCTTTGGTGTGTGCAGTGCAGCCGTGGCACAGCTGCAGTCAGAGCATTGTYCTCAGCTTCATTCCTCCTTTCTGAGAAAGACATGGGCTCAGCTTAGCTGGGCTGGTGAGGAAAGCTGCTGACTTGTCTCTGTTATTTCAGGAGGAGTGGTGGTGCTGGCATTCCTGCAAGTGCCATGGTGGAACAGGGTGAGGTGCTCTGCAAGGCCAACCTGGCTGCTGCTGCTGAGCCTGTAGGGTTTCCTGGAGGGCACCAGAAYRTGGACTCAGGGCTAGCAGCACTGTRCCWCCAGSTTCTTTTGTGTTATTTGGTTTAMARATCTGCTGCAAGACAGCCCTAACAATTCCATGCTAAAAGGCTGCTCCTTTGCYAGGAAGGAGACACTGCCTCAGCTTTCAGCAAGAGACCCACWGTGATCTTCATCACCAGGGTCAGAGCAGTGCTGTTGGTTATCCAGGCTGCAAGACCTTTGTGCATGCCCAAGAGCACTGGTGGAGTGAAGGAGCACAGATGAAAAGTGAATTAATTTCCCTGCCTTTCTCTCAACTACTCATTCCCTGAAGGAAAGGGTAGGGAAATAGGTGGCTSTCAGTGTCACCATGGAGCTCTTGCTGTGCTGCATGGGTTCTGCACAGCAGTTCAAAGGCCCCTCTGATGCAGCAGGTACCTTTCTCACTGTCTTTGGAATATGCACCCATTGGGAGGTTGTGGGTGCCAGGAGCTTGTTGAATGACACTGATAAAGATCCCATCTCCTCCTCTTTACAGGTACAATGGSTTGGTGACAGGCTCTCGAGCCAAAGGCATCATTGCCATCTGCTGGGTGTTGTCCTTCATCATCGGCCTGACCCCAATGCTGGGGTGGCACAAACGCACCCCGATCGAAGAGCTGGGCTCCAACAGGTCCTCTCCCATCAACTGCAGCGACAGCATGGTGGCCTGTCTCTTYGAGGCCGTGGTCACCATGGAGTACATGGTCTACTACAACTTCTTTGCCTGTGTGCTCCTGCCCCTCCTTCTCATGTTCGGTATCTACTTGAAAATCTTCATGGCAGCCCGGCGCCAGCTCAAGCAGATGGAGAACAACATGGTACACGGGGAGCGTTCCCGCTCCACGCTGCAGAAGGAAGTCCATGCAGCCAAGTCTTTAGCCATCATTGTTGGACTGTTTGCATTTTGCTGGCTTCCACTGCACATTATCAACTGCTTTACCCTTTTCTGCCCAAATTGTGCCCACGCTCCCCTGTGGCTGATGTATCTGGCCATTATCCTGTCTCACGCTAACTCGGTTGTAAACCCCCTAATTTATGCCTACCGGATCAGGGAGTTCCGATACACCTTCCGTAAAATCATCAGCCAGCACATCCTGGGCCGCAAGGAGCCCTTCAAGGCAGGAACAGCCAGCTCCAGGACTTCCACCCACGGGGGGGACGCGGAGAACGCCAGCATCCGGATCAGTGAGTACGCGCTAGAGSTGTACACCAACGGGGAGATCCACAGGGATCCCGAAAAGCAGGACTTGAACAAATGCAAAGCTGGCTTGGAGTGGCACCAGAATGGAAATGCTCTGGACCGGGAGACAAATGGGCATCTCCCACATTCCTGCAAAAATGGGATTCTCTCAGACGCACGCCTGAACAGGGAGCTTCACAGTGAAGAGCTAATTGATGCCCAGGTGTCTTACTCAGATCTGGAAAGAGCAGCCTTCGCCGCAGCTGATGTTTCCTGATGAGACTCTCAAAGTCTTCCTGGTAGAATTATTTTCTTTCCATTGGTGACCTCTGCCATGGCAKAAAGGGAAGTTGGGGGGCGGGGGGAGAGCAGTGTATTCAGATTGCTGTGAAGAAAGGGGTCCATATCCAGGACTATTGGATGATCCTGAATACCAGACTGGAGAAAAGCCAAGAGACCACTGAGGTGGACTAAGGAAGGAGGGACACGTTACCTGTCARTGACCTGTCACCAAGAGCAGTGTCAAGGTCGAGGATGGCATTCCACGTTCAGCACTGGGAGACTGCTGTTGCAGGGATTTCGTGACATTGTGCTGTACTGTGCCTGTGGTTGTATGTTGGTTTTGCTGTCTTTACCAATGGAAATAGAAGCATGGCTGGAAGCATTCCCTGAATAACCCAGGGCAGCTGGGAAGGGCCCTCTCGGTACTGTGGCCCTGCAACAAGCAGAAAGGGAATAGCAAAATCTATTGTCAGGAAAGATGCTGGGAGCTGCTTGGAGAGGGAAGGAATTTACCTGATGGGAGCTCTGGATACTTTCAACCATGGCATTTTGCCTTTCAGTTCATGTTTTTAGAGCTTATACTGCAACAGGTTGCTCAGGTTTTTTTCCATGTGATAGGGTTACTTTATGTTAAATTATAAGAGATGGGCAAGAACTCATATCCATTCCCTGAGCACTCARTGTTCCAGATGCACAAGGCAAATATAAGCTCTTAGCTCTCCACTTTGTCCAAAAATCCACCAAAGCAGCCCCTGTAACACAGATTTCCCTTGGCTGTTAGCAGGACATGGTGCTGCAGGCCAGGGCTGTGGGTGTGTGAGCTGTCTGTAGGTTGGTGCCACCCTCTGCTTTCCCCTGTCTCTGTGCTTGTCCTCCTGAGCTCCTAGAATGCAAATTCTTTCCATGGCCCCCAATGTGTATGAGGGGAGGTAATATTCCATATTTCAGTCATTTTTAACCTCACTCAAAAGGCTGTGGGATCTTTTTCTTATTTCTTGGCATAGGGRGCAGCCCACACACATACCTTCCACTTAATTTTGGCATTCCAGCTCTATTTAAACACCTGATCTCCTGTGATTTCAGTTGTTTCCTGTGATGTGTCCCTGTTGTGCAGAGGCCAACAGAGATGGGCCTCTCTGGTTACAAGATACTCATTCTCTGATAAACTTAAAGGTGTCAGTAGTATTGCAACTTATCTTAGAAACTGCAGTTTCTTTTTTCTGTAGAAGAGAACAGGCGAGTTCATGCTGCAGCAAGTGTATGTGCTGATGTGGTTTGCTGCAGAGGTGTTTCACAGCAGTTGGATAATTTTCTGTGTCACAGGAACTCTGGCAGCTCAAGGACAGCAGAAACACACATCAGCTTAAATTCCACCTGAAGACTGTCTGGTTTGGGTTTTTTTCCTGACAAATAATACATTCCAAWACTACCAGCCTTATGGAGAGACAGGCAGTAGTGGTCCTACTGGAAACTAAAGGTCTGGTAATTCCAGGGATCTGAAGCTCATTCCCTAGCTGAAGACTTTAGAAATTTCATCCCTCAAATCTGACTCCTTCTTGTATTTGTCCACTAACATTTCAGAAGCCAAGGGAAACTGGATTTTGATATTTGCGGAAGAGCAGGTTAGGTGTGTTCTTATTCCATGTTTATTTTATATATTGTGAAGTATTAAAATGGAAAATCTGTTTTATTTTGAGGATAATTTTCTTTTTGCCAGTGTCCCTACCGAAGGTGGGGAGAAGTTTGTCATGCTGAATGTGTTTGAATGCATGGCTGCTCTGGGCTAGCACAAAACTTGCCGTGAGATGGATAAAAAGATGTGGCTGCCACAATGGTGCTCAGGAGAAAGATGGGCCAGTTTGTAACACATAGACTTCATGGTTTAATTGAACTGCTGCTTTCTTGGCACAGCTCTTGCCCATAGTCTGACATCAGAGGAGAGGATTATCACCCCAGCACCATTAAGGAACGTCATTTCCCTGTGACTGACGTCATAGGAGCTCCTCTGTAGGGTGACTCGGGATCTTGTTACCCTTGATCTTTCTTGATGGAATATTTCTGTAGGTTATTTGTGTGATGGCTTCTCTGACCTCCTGTAACAGTGGCAGAGGAACTCAGGAAAATGGGGGGCAGTTCTCTTCAGGCCTCAGCTGGGAGCTGAAATGTTTCTAAGAATAACACAAGATTACATCCGGCACTCATGTCAATAACAATTAGGTCCACAAAGAAGCAGAGCAGGGAAGGAAGTGTGGGAAAATACCAGCACTGCTCATGTGCTGGAACACACACGAGTGCAGAACGTCTCCTACTGAGCTTTAGCTGCCATTGTCAAGGGATGGTTTGGACCACATTGTATCACACTTTCAGCAGCTGCTGTGGGCTGGTTGCTTTCTATTGTTTCCTGAGCATCTCCACGCTCACTTTTGGCAGTTTCTTGCTTGGTTGCCACAAGRATCAAGTTGATCTGTGTTGATGGACAAACTTAGGATTGTAGCTTTGGAAAAATTTCCTATCCAACCAGATCACCAAGCGAGCTTAATGACTTTCCAGATATCTTGAATTTAGCTTTCGTGTTGTAGCTTGAGCTGCCCCTAAGTGTGTCCAGTCCCTTTCAATATTAGTGATCCAGGCTGGAAGTGAGAAGGGTGTGTGRAGGGGGTGGGCTGTGTGCAGGAGGAAGTGCAGGGTACAGAGAGCGTGGTTTGTGGAGCTGTCTGCAGTCACAGGAAGGAAGGGATGGCAGCTGCACATCATGCTGGGCCTTCTGGCAAACATATGGCTGAGATGGACCCTCAGAGGAGGTTTCTGAAGCAGTTGTTGGGGAGAGCAGGAACCTTTTGAACAGAATTTTGGAATTCTTCTTTCATGTTTCCTATGGATCATAATTTCAGGGCTTACTGCTTTTTGGTTTGTTTTACTTTAAAAAAAAAAAAAGCAGCAATAGGTCCCCTCAATGAAGTGTGCTCTTCCTTTCTCCTGGCACCCCTTCAGTCTAGAGAYGTACCTGCCTTCCAGACTCCATAGGACCACTCATGTCCCCCCTGTTCTTCCAGCTGGAGAATGTGGAGCCAATCCAGCTCCTCTGCATAAACACAAATGGTACCAAGACAAAGGCAAGAATGAGGAGACCATCAGGACAGGCTSGAGAAGACCTTGGCAATCCAAGGTGCAGGGGGTCCAGAGAGTAGGAGCTGGGGTCAGAAGAGACTAATTTCACTGAATGAGAGCTTCTTGCTAAAAAAGTCTGAAGATGCATAGAGATGTGGTGCCTCATTTGGTGTGAAGCCATTCCATGAATTTCACYATTCCCTGAAGACTCTTAGGCTCCAGGGTTTATTTGCTTTATAAGAGTTTTGGAGAAAGCAAAATTTGATCAGTTGCCAGGAGTAATTTTATCATGAGTTCTTGGGGCCCTCTCCTCAACAGGGCACTGYTTTTTGTGTGTGCAAATCAATGCACTTACAGCTGTGTCCTGCAGAGTGCCTTTTGGATCAGCGATATTTCAAAGTTCTGTGCAAGCYTGAGCTGCAGCTCTTGATCTGAGAAGCAATTTGGCATGGTGGGACAGCTGGGAATGCTGCAGACAGAAAGGGTTTCTCACGGATCCCAGTTGGTGCTAAGGTGCAGGTGGACTTGGAGTGACATGGAATAGTCTGAACCTTTGATCATGTTTTGAAAAGARGTCTCAGAGGATGCTGGTGGGTACAGAGAAGTCTCTAAGGTGTGGGACACTCTTAGGGAGAGTCGGGATGGACAGGAAATCTTGCTGGTGAAGGAGGATTTGTAGGGAAGGTGYTTGGGAGGATTTCAGGGGAATAGGAATGTGCTGGGAGGTGTTGTGGGATGTAAAGATGATGCTGGCTTGAGACCAAGTTGTAACTTGCTGAGGAAGGACACTGGAAGGAATGTACAGCCCTACAGCTCTCCTGGGGTCACTGCAAGGATCAGCCCTGCTGGGAGTGTGCAGAAGGTTGATTTGTATGGTCTGYATTGACCAAGGCAGGGATGGTTCTCACAGATTCTGTCCTTCAGGTACATTGTCCCATTTCATGAGCACATTCAGGAATTGCCAATCCCCTTCTGCTTCATGAGCATGGTGCCTGCCTTTAACCAAATCCATCCAGCCAAGTTCTGTRGAAGGACAAACAGGTTGCAGTGGTGCTGCGATGCATTAAACCTGCATGCAATACTCTCTAGTGGTGTTTGCTAAATTCAGCTGCCTCTAAAAGTCAGTTCTCTCCCAATGTTTTGGGCATCAAATTGCACTGAGTCATTTCAGAGTTTTTTCTTTCCAGCCCTGAGCTTCTGGTTGTCTTCATGGTAAAACACATCAAGAGTAACAAATATCAGCAGTTCCTCATTTGCATGAGAGGTGACTAACCCTGACAGATGAGAATCCCCAAACTGGGGCAATGCTGTGTGTAACTCCCCATYTTGCCTGCTGGGACTGTTCACACAAGGATGTGTTAAAATCAAGACTGGAACCTGTTGCTCTGAGAACATCCTTCACTCCCCCACTGTCTCAGGAGTTGGTGTTCCTGCCCTGCCCTGTGGAGAGGTTCTCTGTGGTCTGCAAACCAAGACACTATGAACAACCTGCTGCACATGCTGTCAGTATGAAACAATTACTCTTTTAATTTAAATGTTTTATGATATAGGTGTTGTTTTCCCTCTGTCAGTTACCACTGGGGGGGGAGGGGGGAAGGGGGTGGGAGAACCTGTGCATGCAAATGTATTTAAAGTGCATTGACCAAAGGTTTTTTTGAATCTGTGAAGTTTTCATATCTGTGAAGTCATCAGACTGCTGGGCAGTGAGGAGCCGCTGGTGCTGCGGAGTCTGTCTTGGTTACATTTCTTAATAAGCATTAAAATAATAAAATATATTTGTAAAAGASAGTGTGAGTGCCTTTGTCCCAGGAAGATCCGGCTGGCTGGATCTTGTGTGCAAGTATTTTCTTATTCTATTATTAGCTTTCTCCATAGATTGATCCTTCTGGAGAGCTCTCTCCCTGTGCCTGTGCTCTTGCAAAAGAGATTAGCTTGGACAAAGGGGCAGACCCAAATGGACAAGAAGACTCCTCTGTGCCATCTCTGCCATGCTGGGATGTGTCATGGTGGCAGTAGAAATCATTCACAGCCATGTATGGAACATGAGGTAGGGCTGAATTCAGAGCTGTATTCCTGGCAGGAAGGGGCTGTTCACAGCAGGACCGAGGCTCCATGGCTGCACCATGAACAGCTTTGCCTGCTGTGCCTGGGCCATCCCACCCTGCTGGCTCTCCTTCCACATGGCCCTGTGCTGCACCTCACACTGTCACCCTCCCAGACTTGTGCCCAGTTCTTGCCAGCCAAATTAGTCTGGAAATGGAGGCAGGGAATCTAGATGCTACTGTGGTGTTTCTCCAGTCAAATCTGAGCAATGCTGAAGCAGGACTAATTTCCAGCTTCTTCCAGCTGGCAGCTACTAAATGTGTGTCTAAGGAGGTTAGTGAAAGTCTGTACAATCCAGGAGCACTTGGAACTGGGAGGTCCTGGAATGAACATTCACCAGATAACCATCAGCCACCACTAATTCCCTCTGCTGGGTCACTTTGCAGCTGGGCTCGAGGCCTCCTCACTGCAGGTCCCAGTTTKTGGAGAGGTGCTGGCAGCCTGGTGCTCTGCAGCCAGCTGTGCCCGAGCTGTTCAACCAAGTGTGTGATTGAAAAGCTTTTTGATTTTCCCTCCTTTCGCAAACACTGTGCGTTTTGTTCCACAGCATCAAAGGCYGGGAGCTGGGGAACAATGGGCGTCTGCAGGAGCCCAGAGGAACAATGCTTGTACCTAAGAAAGAGAACTTGGAAGAACAGAGAGAGCTCCCAGCTTAACAACACAATTGGCCTGATCTGGAAATCTCTGCTCAGAGATCCACACCTTGGCTCAGTCACCCACAGCAATTAGACTTTGCAGGACTTCTGCTGGAGAAAAGAGCTGACTGCAGCATTGGGAAAGTGCTGACATATCTGAATGGTGAAGTAGTATGGGATTGTGGTGGATTAGTAGGTTTTCCCTGCTAATGATTTTTGCTAAAGAGCTTTTCACAGTATTTAAAG